ATAGAAACTCTACCTCTTCCATTGTTTTAATATAAAGTTAGCTAATCTTTGTAAGTAGTGTAAGAATTACTTACCGGATTCATTTGTATAAGATTTATACTATTCAGTGAAATAAAACGGTTTATCTTTGTAAACATCAATATGGTAAACAAATAAATAAAATGCAATAATCATTATGGTAAATAACAACAACAACAAAAGTGGAATCTGGTCTAAAAAGGCGCTTCTTATTCTATAGTCTAACCTTGATTAATGTTAATATACATTTATGCTAATTAAATAAACGGTACCTCATTGTAGTATCCATAGTCTATTACCTTATTACATACTTAGTAACTGAAGAAAGATAAGAACAAATATAATCATATAACAGATAAGTGGTAATAGTATATGTTCATATTCAGAAGTATATATAATATGATTGGTTAATAATTGTGTTGACAATTAAACTAGACAGAGATGATTGTTGTTGGTGGTGGTGGTGACGATGATGATGTTGATGATAATGGTGATGATGATGATTGGTCAGAATACTTGAAATGAACAGTAAGGTTTACTTACTTACTTACTGACTGACGCATGTTACTCCACGTCGTTGAGGAGCATAGGCCACCCACCATCACTCTCTATCCAACTCTGTTTTGTGCAATCGTTTCCAGTTGCTATTCATGCCTTTTGGTGTCTGTTTTCAATACTCGACGCAGTGTGTTCTTTGAATGAATGAATTTCGGTCAAAAACTCAAGAGGTCCACTGATTACTTCATCCATTCAGTTTAGTATCATTAGGTCAAGGTTTGTTTCTTGATTAAGTGTTTATTTTTAAGGTTTAAGGATGGTGTCATTTTGTCTGTTTGTTATTTACAATCCACAGGAACATAATTAAACACTTAATACTTTGAACATCATGATTTCAACTTTGTGGTTGCATTAAGTAATTGTTCATCATCACTTACAACGTTTTGAGTAGTACAAAAAGTTATTTTTTACTACTCGTTATATATGGAATTTGCATTTCACTCATAAGCTTGAAGGTTGCCTTCTAGGTTTTGATTGTTTTGCCACTATTCTATACTTTTACGGTTTTTTTTGTCTCAGTTGTCTTAGGTGTTTAAATCCTCCCACTGGTGTTTAGAATTACAACTGACCAGTCTCTTTTGACATATGTGGATCGTATATTACCATTAAATCACAAGTATTTAATAAATAGGGTTAGATACTGGCTAACCGTAGATTAGCAGCAGTTATCTGTACTCAGTAGTTAAGTGGATGGCGCGTTAGCGTTTAAAGCGCAAGGTATTGAGTTTGAATTCCAAAGTAAACAGAAACTGTGGGATCCAAGTACATCCAGCTGACGAGTCCTAAATAGGAATAAATGTGTGTTTGTAATAAGAATCATTTATTTCAAACATACTGTGTTTATATACCAATCAAACAGATCACATCGTACCATAAAATGGAAAATAACATTTACACAAGATTTAGACAAATGTGGCTGTGAATATAGGAGGTAGTCATTGATAGAATGGTCACAATTGATTGATCACTGAGTGGTGATCAATGTCATGCTTGTCTAGTCTTTATTAGTACAGATCGAATGCTATCGATCATGTGGTAACGTCTCTGACTGTGAAGCTGGGTGACACGAGATCGAATCCGCCAGGGAGCACCAGTTCCCTCAAGATTACAGGTACACCTTGCTGACGAGTGCCAAGTAGCACGAAAACCCGGTCCAGGGTTTCCTGTTGACTACCTCCAACCACCATCTAAATTGATAGAGTGGGCATAACTCGGGAATGGTAAAACGTATAATAATGGTTCATAGGTCCAAATAAAGCTTATGATAAGAGGAACATGAATATTTATAGTTCAGTTACTTAACAGTTATACAATAAAAACATATGTATAGTATTAGTCCAGAAGTAGATTCCAACAGCTACCATTCATAATTCTCATCGGGATATAACACATTCAGTTGACAGAACACAAGTTCAATAAATAACTGGCATACTTTTTGGTATGTTTATTTAATCTAATTAATCTAAATATTTAAAAGATTATCATTAGATTACTTTATCATGGTAATGGTTGATATGTAGATTTGATTCCTAGTAGGATCATGAGTATGCACTACTGATGACCCACTTACCAAAATAAACAGATGAGCATTACCTCATTGTTTTCAGTAGCATCCTAAATGAAATCAACCTGTGACGAATACAACGATCTCCTGAAACTCCTTGAAATATTTACAAACCATTGAGACGAATTGCACTGTTTCCTATTTTCATTTTTTCTTCATGATAAATCCATGACAACAAGAATATTGGATTTAGAAGCTCTTTCGTACTACGCATCCTCACACACACACATACACACTGAATCTATGTACTTATGAAACTATAAGCTATGAAAATAAGCGACTACATTGTCTCTAACATGTATCTGTGATGATTCAAACTGATTTGTTATTAACTTAGCTTATATTCTCTATCAATATCATTGTATCCATCCTCTAATGATTTTTAATTTAATCAAATATTTTACAAAAACTATTTACTACTTACCTACCCTACTTATTTTACAGTAAACATTAATCACACACATACATAGATACACAAAAAAATAAACCGACTACCAAGTAAATACAAATTAGAGTTTGCTTTGAACTTGAAAAAAATCTTTTTAAAAAAATATATTTCTCTCTTGGAGAAAGTATACTAAACTACATGCTCACTCACTCACTCACACCCTCCTTTTCTCCCTCCCTCAGTTATTAGTTGTCATGATAGTACTCACTTCTCTTTTGTCTATTTAACATTACGCACATATAATATATAAGTGAATCATGTCAAATGTTGGATATCTTGAAATACTAAACAAATTGCATGTGTGTATGCGTGCGTGTGGGTAGTGTGTGTGTGAATATGTGTGTTTACGATAGTCAGTAGTTGTAAGAGTAATATTAGTACGATGGTCAAGTGAGAAATAAGATCGAAATGAGGAAAATAATAAGGGAGAATCAGTGATATTATTCATTTCTATATTGTATGTCATAATCACTCATTTGTAAAAAGAGATACACGGAATGTTGTTCAATGATAGGAAAGGTTTAGAATGAAGAAATACACATATTTTTTGATACTTTCTATATGTATCTATATGCGTCTGTGTTGTTTTAAGGTGATTGTAAATTTTCCGACTAATATATTTAATTTATGACAATCAGTCTGATGAAAAGAGAACTCTCAGTATGGAGTTGTGGAGACTATTAAGTTTTTAATTGAGATTATGAACCGATTAATGTGAGATCATCATCGAAAACCTGTAGGCATTGGATGGATGTTTCGTACTATTTTGGGACTCCTTAGCAGTGCGCATCCACAATCCCGTTGGCGGGATTCCAACCCGGGGCCTTCGGTCTCGCACGCGAACGCTCAACCTCTAGACCACAAGTGACCAGCTTCGTGAGAGAATTCTCGGAGTTCTGTTAAGAAGCCATGATCAGTCGAGCTAATCCATGTCGGGTAGAGACAGGTATCTATCCCAGTGAAATGGAAGATGGTAGTGCAATTTCGTGGATTAGTTAGACATAGACACCGTTAGATACCGATTCGGTGGTTTAGATGTTAGGCATTCTCGTGCGAGACCGGAAGCCCTGGGTTCGGATTACGCTAGTGGGATCGTGGATGCGCATTGTTGGGGAGTGTCACAATAGAATGAGACAGCCGTTCAGTACTCCCAGGTTTTCCATGGTAGCTTAACATCAATCGGTTCACGATCTCAACCGAAAAAAAGAATTGATGATCGAGATTAACAGTCCTTTTGTTTTCTTGTATTCATTTAACCTACTTATAAGTAGACGAACTTGATTTGATAAAAAGTGTTTACAATCACGGATTTATCTTAATTATGAGAAAAAAGCATTAAAAAATCAGAGCGATTGAACAGATATTTAATTGTAGTATGGGACACTTCAACAGTACACATTCACGATCACAGCAGAGGTTTAACTGAGGAAGTTCAGGTATTATGGAGAGTGTTTAATCCCTAGATTACAGAGTCAACAACCATTGATTTAAATTGTGCAATCATTTTCCAATGCCATTAGTGAGTAATTATTTTGAATTCAACATAGATCTACTCCTTTAGTTAGGGATTCTTGCTGGAACTTAGGGTATTACCTCTGGGAATAAATCACTGGTAAGTAAATGTTTCCTTATTCAGTCAGTCAGTCAGTACAACTTCGTACGTACGTCCATCAGTTCGAGTTGCCACACCACATTAGCACAGAGAGGCAGTGATTGATTCAAATCCCGTAGTGCTAAATGTAGTAAAATTATAAGCTGTAATCAGAAAAATTAGGCTTTGAAGATATTATTCAAGGAGTATAATCCAGTGAAATAAATTTGGAAAGAGGAAAAAGAAAGGGACATGAAGAATTCAGAAGGTTAGAATTTGGGAGAACACAAAGAGTGGATGCACCTGCGCCATTGCAAACGATTTTGAGCCATGTCATTCAGGGTCTCTAACCATCGGTTGCTATCATCTCGCGGTCCCCAACCAGGTAGTCTACACCTACCAACATGACTCAGTCCACTTGTCAGTAACTTCATGGACTTGTGCCATGTTTTTGGTTTGGCCGCCCCTAGCTTTCTTCCAACCTACACCAGAAAACATCGCACGTCGAGGCAGACGGTGGTTGGGCTTACGTAACACGTCCCAGCCATCTCAACTGATGAAGTTTCACTACTTCACCAATGGATTTGCCATCCTTACCTAGTACCCGTATCCTAACAACTGCATTACTTACTCGATAGTCCCAGGATATACGAGCAATATTTCGAAGACACCTATGATCAAATACTAGTAACCTACGAATATCCTCTACTCTTACCGGCCATGTTTCTTTATTACTGTAGCAAGTTCATAGTGATTATTAACAGATCATTTTAACTAATATGAATTGTTCATTAGAATTTATTTGTATTTTTTCATTGAAGTTATATACAGATTGGGCGAATCATTATTTAGAAAAGGCAAATTATTCAAATTTAATAAAAAATATACAGAAAGATTTATCTAATGGACTATTGTTAGCTGATATTATACATGCAGTAGGTAAGTTGTATATTGTGTATTGCTAATTCATGTATGCATCATTATTTTGCATTCGTTTTGAGACCTAATATATGAAGGGCTGCATAATGGCTAGTAGTGGAATAGACGAGTGTCGATTATTGATGTTGGTCACCAGATAGTAGGATATAAAAGCAGGGATTAGTAAAGTAAGGACAGCATTTATACAGTTCAAGAACATATGGAACTCAAAACAACTGACAACTAGTATCAATATGTACATCAAGACGGTTCTACCATATGGAGCTTAAATTTCGAGAATTACTATAACTATCATCAAAAGGGTACAATCCGTTGACTGGATACCATCAGTAACAGCCTACTGTGGTAGAGGACAAATTAGTTTCCAGATGAGGAGGTAATTAGGAAAAGATGTTGGAAGTGGATAGGATACACATTGAGAAAATTATCGAACTGCATCACGAAGCAAGCGCTAACTTGGAATCCTGAAGGCAAAAGGAAAAGAGGAAGGCCGAAGAAAAAACTGCGTTGAGAATTTGAAACTGACATGAAAAGGATGAATAGAAAATAGAAACAACCGGAAAGGACTACCCACCACTGAGTTGAATAGAGAATACTTGTGGGTAACCTATGCTCCTTCAAGAGAAGTAACAGGCGTAAGTGTATATACGTATAGATGGATAGATAAACAGATAGATCACTTTTATGAGGTAGTTTACATCACAGACTAAACAATTTAATGCTTATGTCGTTCAATTTCGAAATTTTACTCTAGTCCCCATTTACGATACCTTTCGGGATCAGATCTATTAAAACCACTGATTCTTAAAGATTTACACTGTCATGTTTAATGCCATGTTTTATCGTCATTCTTCTGTATCGGTGTATTCATGTACACTTCGGAAAAGTTCCGACTTTTCAGCTATTTGTCCATTTAAATCGTACGAACGAGATTTTTTTTATGAATTCAACATTACTACTAATATTTAGTTAGTATGATGATAAAAATAACAAATATTCTCGTGACAATTATCGTAGGCGGCGTAAAGCTGAAAACCCACTGATGATGATGAACTAACGAAGATTGATCTGAAAGATTTCAAGTGAGTTCATGAATGATGAAGCTTAGATTTAAACCCGTGATTTTTTATGTATCCTAGTATATTTTTCTACTACTAATCATTATGACTCAATGGTCCACATTTGACTCAAACAACTCATAAGATACACACTTACACACGTACACATGTATTAATTCCTCTCGTTCTCAGACTTTAAATAATCTAAATAAGCCTTGGCGAGACTATAATTTATGAACGAACCGATCAGATCTAGGATAACAGGTCTTGGATTTTGGCTCGAAATTCCCTCAACCATTCATCCAAATAGCGTCATAGCATTTTAGCTGATGTCAGTTCATGATGAAAACCATAAATCTAAATCCTAACCCTTACCGTCAACTATAAATCATTATCTTTACTTCTCAAACTAATTTATAACCTTTATTTGTCCCCATTGAGTGGGTAGACACTCTCAAGGTCCCTCAAAGATCGTCCATAAATTTTAATCTCACCTAAACCAATTATTTTTATGGGGATATAATATAAAAACCATCCACCAAAAGGGGGAAATTTTTGGTAACATCAAATATCATCAAATAACATCAAATATCATATTCATTATTTTAAAACACACTGAAATTAAAATGCTTGTGAATTAAAGTAATATCCCAGTAACTCGCATTGAGTTCGAGTCCTGAGGTGAACATCAACTCCGAGATGCAGGTACATCCAGCTGACGAGTACCAAATAGGACGAAACACGCATCCTAGATTCCACTGCTAGTCACCAACTATCTTTGCTTATAATGATGGATACTAAGTTTTGTTCTCATTGTAAATCTCACGATAGATATGGATAAATTCAATTGAAGACTCTTAAATAAGATCATATGTAAGTCATCAATTTCAGTGATAATCACAATTCATATTAACTTTTCCAATACTACTATTATAATAATGAATTTTAATCTATATTGAGTTCATTTCATTAATATCAGCCTCTTTTTTTCTTTCCCCTTTATTTCTACTTGATTTCACACATTCTATCATTTGGTTTTAAATCCCTTTTTATTCTCATCTAGCTAATATCAAAGTTCAACGTTTATGTCGAAATCCGAAAACATCCGCTCAATCAGTAAGTAATCATCTATCATTATTTGAGTATTGATAAATCATATTGATTGTTTATAATAACTTACATGATCTAGATGACTATTTTTTGGAGAGAGAGAAAGGGGGTAATAATAAGGTAAAACTGTGCATGTTTGATGGATCATTTGTAGGCAAACTGCGTTACATACATCCTAAACACTTAATTTTGGTCTAAAATCTGATTGTAAATATCTAATCATAACAAGAAATAGTGTTGTAACTCATGTAGTGCCTGGTTCTATGTTGAGTTTATTCTGGCTTCCAGGCAAGCTAATTTATCCATTCTTATCAAGCTACACTTTGACCATGTTAATTATTCGCGGCGAGACTATCATTTGTACACGAACCAATCACGTATAAGATAACAGGTCTCGGATTTTGGCGCCAAATTCATTCATCCATTTGGATAAACAGAATACCCTAAATCTAATTCCTAAGTTTAATCATCAACTGTTAGTCATATATATAGAGGGAGAGAGCGAAAGAGATTCAAGGTGTTTTATACACATTAGTTAAATGATAAAATAAATGCAACTTACATACTGATAACTGTTACCTCTCGTAAAGGAGCATAGGCCGCCCACCAGCATTCTCCATTGAACACTGTCATGGGAAAATAAATCCAAACAAATGTGAAATTTTTTTTAAGAAAAACTATTTTTCAGTCAATCCGATAAAAATTTGAAAGTTACTGGTTACACTTGATCTAGCAACTCGGACCGATGTACGTACGTACGAAGTTCTACGTTGTTACTGACTGACTGACTGATCTAGCGATTGTCATTATGGATGAGAACGGTTTTTTTTTCCTTTTTAATTAAAACAAATTTTAGATAAGAAAATCAGCATATAGGCCTGATGAACTCAATAAATATTATCAGTAATCAGTATATTCCATAAAGCTCAAAAGAAAACACCTTTACCAAACATCTAGATGTTAAATCCTAAAGAGAATGAAACAAACTACTTAAACTTCACTGGTAGTTACAATCTACCCAATTTCAATAGAGTATGGTTCACTGAGTTAGATGGTTTAGTTGTGGAGATTTCATCGTTCTTCGGAATGACGTTATCAACACAAGCTTCAAGAACAAAACTTCATCAAAATCATCTACCTGAGCTACAAATCTTCTCCATTATCCCCAATTTCAAAATCAAACACTTTATTGAAAAATCAGCACAAAATAAACACTGTACTTATTGCTGAAAATGATTCTAACGTTTGAATTATATATATCAATAGTTGAAATCATGATTCAATTGAAGCTAGATCACCATGAAAAACCTCAGAGTACTAAACGGCCAATTCGTCCTAGTATGAGACTACTCAGCAGTGTGCATACACGATCCCGCCGCCCCGCGAGGTTCAAACACAGGACCTATCAGTCTCGTACGCGAGCATTTAAACATTAAACCACTGAGCAGGCCGGCATTCAACAGTGTTAATGTGTAACTTCAACCAATCCACGAAATTGCGCCATCGTACACCATTGTTTTCAGTGAGTTAATATCTCACAACAGACCTTGTTGAACTCCACTGGTCACGAATTCTCACTAGAACTCCATGAAATGCCTCTTGAAGTCATTCACTAGTGAGCAGATGATTATTATCAGAAGGGGTTTGTGGAGATTTTAGAAATTTCACAGATTGAAATCATGATTCAATCGATGCTAGACCACCGTGTTAAACTACTTAAGAGTAGTATGTAAATCTTTGATCAATAAAATCTTATTCTAGATGAACGCTGAATGTTACCAACCCCTTTAAAAAGGCTACTTAACTGGGGGTATTTGAGTGAAGAGATCGAAAGAGAGAGAGAGAGAGAAAGGGGTGAGGACAGAGAGATCAAACAGATTGATTGTATACAATAATCACATATTCTGAACAGCATTCATTCAGTTAATCGATAAGACACTTTTTTCAAAGGATCTTATCAACCAAGCTTAACCAAATAGAATATGACCTAATCTATATTATAATTTCATTATTCATACAAGATAATGACATTTTGAACGAATTGATTATTGTGTATTACAAATATTGATCATGTTTTTATTGTATCATTTTAGCTTCATAATGTATTGGCTTGTTTTCAAGTGCTCCAGTTACTTGGCATTGAAACAAATGGGTTTACTCCTCAAGGTAAGACTAGTATTAATAATATTCATGTTAACCAAGTAGTAGTAGTAGTAGTAGTAGTTGTTGTTGTTGTCATTTGATCCTCAGTGAATACTAGTGTAGTGGTCGATATTCAATATAATCCTTAAACTTCGTATACAGTTCATCCTGATAACCTTCACTAGATAACACCTCCGATCGGTGTATTAATCAGAAGGAGAATATGAAGTGTTGATTACGTTTATTATTGCACCACACACAAATAGATCACCAAAACTACAGGCACACGAAGAAAGAATGATAAGCGAGTGCTGAAGAGAAAGTGAGTGCGTACGTGCGTGAGTGAGTGAGTGGAGTGAGTGAGTGAGTGAGTGAGTGAGTGAGTGAGTGAGTGAGTGAGTGAGTGAGTGAGTGAGTGAGTGAGTGAGTGAGTGAGTGAGTGAGTGAGTGAGTGAGTGAGTGAGTGAGTGAGTGAGTGAGTGAGTGAGTGAGTGAGTGAGTGAGTGAGTGAGTGAGTGAGTGAGTGAGTGAGTGAGTGAGTGAGTGAGTGAGTGAGTGAGTGAGTGAGTGAGTGAGTGAGTGAGTGAGTGAGTGAGTGAGTGAGTGAGTGAGTGAGTGAGTGAGTCCATCAACATCGAATAAATTGAGCGACTAACAGTAAGGCTAGCAGAATGAATGTACGCATAGGCAGTAAGCAATGCTTGAGCATTCATATTCATACAAGCACAACAGTGATAAAGGTAAGATGATATGGGATAAGTTGTCGTTGTATGAATGACTCTATCCGTTGAATAAGTTAACAAAAGGGCTTAACCAAATTAAATATGAACAAACTCAATTACATGTTAGCTGCTATACTAGATGGTTTGCGTTAACTGTTTCATTTCAAAGTTCTTTTAAGATCACAGGTACACTATATTGATCAATATCAATTATCAGGGAATCTAGATAAAGTATAATTTACAGTTGGCTACTTCAAACGAACTAATGTCTATCTATCTTAAACTAAAAAAACACAGCGAGAAATTTGATCTGAATAGTAAACAATTCATTCGGTGACTGACTTCAAGAGGCATTTCATGAAGTTCTAGTGATAAGTCGTGACCAATGGAGTTCAACCAGATCTGTTGTGAGATATTAACTCACTGAAAACAATGGTGTATGATGGCGCAATTTCGTGGATTGGTTGAAGTTACACATTAACACTGTTGAATGCCGGCCTGCTCAGTGGTCTAATGGTTAAATGCTCGCGTACGAGACTGAAAGGTCCTGTGTTCTAATCTCGCAGGGTGGTGGGATCGTGTATGCGCACTGCTGAGTAGTCCCATACTAGGACGAATTGGCCGTCTAATACTCTAAGGTTTTTCATAGTATTCTAGCTTCAAATGAATCATGATTTCAACTACTGAAATTCATTATGTACAAATGTTTTTCATATTTTTGTATTTTAATATTTTACTAATCATTGTATATACTACTAACAATATCCAATTTGTTTTCACTCCTATCCATCCACTTCTTACATTGTAGACATTGTGGATAGTAAATTAAAATATATACTTGGTCTATTTTTCAATTTATCTAAATTTAAACAAAAAACAAAAAAATTACAACAATCTCAAGTAAATACAATTACATCTTCATCAATAATACAATCATCAGTCTTAACAACAACAACAACAACAACAATACCAACTAAAGCAACAATTACATCAATTCATTATCCATCAATGATTAAATTACAAAAAAATCATATTTCCAATGAAAACGATACACATCATCATCACCACCACCACCACCAACAACAACAACATCATGATCATCATCAGGATTCATTAATTGTTCAATCAACACCACCTAGACCACCACCACCACCGCCGCCACGTACTATCAATAATAATAGTACTACTACTACTACTACTACTACTACTACTACTACTACTACTACTACTACTACTACTACTCATAGTAGTATATCAAAACAAACAGATCTATACAACAAATTAGACAGTCCAAACAACATCAGCAACAACAACAATCTAAACAATGGGAATCCTCATCATCATCATCGTCATTATCAATCTGTAAATAAACAAGAAAATCTTTTAATCGGACAATTAAAATATCCAATTAAGAATCTGAATGAAACATTGACCAATTCATATTCCAATCCTTTAATATTGAACAAAAAGAATGAGCATAATGATAATAATCATAATGCTAATATGATTGGAATTAATGCATCATTAAATTTTACTAAACCAAAGTGAGTGAAACAAAATAGGAAAGTATATTTTTTCCTCTTTGGGAAAACGATAATTTATAAACGAACTAACCAGGTATAAGATAATAGGTCATTTGGATAAATAGAGTTATGACATTATAGCTGATATTAGTTCATGATAAATACCCCGACATCTAATTCCTAATCTTAACCATCAATTGTAAATCATAATTCGACCCCCAAATGTTCTGGTACGACCATGAGTGGGAAGTGTTAGGATTCATTCTTAAAACGCTCTGATATGTCCACGTGCATACAACCACTGCCACAAAAGTTCTACTCAACGCCTTCGGATGGAGCCAGTGTTGTTTACGAAATTAAGAGGACGAAAAGCGAATATCTGGTGAGGAAACCGAGTTAGTGGACGCGGAGAGTCCACCTATGGGAGTTGGAAAACTCTGATTCCAAACCAATAGTTCATATGAGCTCCAGGATCCTGAGGGAACAAATGGTGTATGAACCTATTGTTGGTGACCGGCTACCATGGGATTGCATCTCCTGACGTTCCTCCACTGTCTTGTAGATCAGACATTTAGGTCGAAGGCTCGTGGTGTGGTCGGTTTGGGCACACGGGTAGTATCCCAGTTCTCACACAAATCAAATGATTTATGTGGTGTATATGTATTTGGTGCCTTCATGTACCAATGTTTATGTATTTAAATAAATAAAATGAAATCATAATTCTATTTCCTCACACACTGGTTTATAACCCTCATTTGATCCTCGTGATGAGGTGGACACTCTCAAAGTTACTTCGGCTTCACTCAAAGGTCATCCATAAATTATAGTCTCACCTATTTTTCCCATCTGAAAATTGACAATTTAACACTGATGAATTCGGACATAAATTATGATTGATTGATTGCTTGAATATTTACAATATATGCACATTAATAGATATTATGATGAGATTTCTATCTGAAGTTTATGCTGGTGATGTCGTTCAGAAGAACGATGAAAACTTCATGACCAAACCATTCAGCTTAGAGAATAAAACTCCATCAAAAACTATAATTTATGAATGACCTTTTTGAATGATGTTAAGCTGACTATGAGAATATTCATTTACTTATTAGAGATAAATGAGGATTATGAAGTAGTTTGAAGAATAAGCATTATAATTTACAATTGGCAATTAGGAATAAGGAATTAGATTTATATCAGAAGGGGTTTGTGGAGATTTTAGAAATTTCACAGATTGAAATAATGAGTCAATTCAAGCTAGATCACCATGAAAAACCTCAGAGTATTAGACGGCCAATTCGTCCTAGTATGGGACTACTCAGCAGTGTGCATACACGATCCCGCCGCCACGCAAGATCAGAACACAGGACCTATCAGTCTCACGCGCGAGCGTTTAACCATTAGACCACTGAGCAGGCCGGCATTCAACAGTATTAATGTGTGACTTCAAACAATCCACGAAGTTCCACCACCGTACACCATTGTTTTCAGTGAGTTGATATCTCACAACAGACATGGTTGAAGTCCACTGGTAACGGCTTCTCACTAGAACTGCAAGAAATGCCTCTTGAAGTCAGTCACTAGTGAGCAGATGATTATTATTATCAGAAGGGGTTTTGTGAAGATTTTAGTAATTTCAATAGTCGAAATCATGAGTTAATTGATGTTAGACCACCATGGAAAACCTGGAACCACTGGTTGATTCCAACTATTGAAATTACAAAACACTTAACTGAATAGTCATTTAATTGAATGTCTTCATATTTATGCATGAAATATATAACCTTTACATAGTGTTTGTCTTCAAGTTGAAGGATAATAGGAAAATTAATAGGTGTTTTATTTCTATACCACTAGAATGAAAATAAGTAGTATATATATCTATGTATTTTGTTTGTATGTATGGCTATGTCTGGTTGTATTGTATGAGATGATGAACAATATGATATACAGAATAAAGATTTAGTTGTTCTATGTTAAGATTTCTCATTAACTATTATCGGGCAGACTTAATGTTGAAACAAATAATATAAATTTATCATTCAAGGAATAAAAGTCCAGAATGCATAGAATGATACTACATATAATTCACTTGGTATTGTTTGGCTTGTGTCTTCCCATCGAGGTTTAAGACTGCAATTGATCAGTTTGTTATTGGCATATGTGCATACTGTGCATATGCCTCGATATTGCCTCAATTCACAAGCTTTTTATAAGTAATGATGGATAGTGGCTAGCAGTGGAATCTAGGACGCGCATTTCGTCCTATTTGGGATGTAGATACATTCGGCTGACGAGTCCCAAATAGGATGAAACATGCGTCCTGGATTCCACTGCCAGCCACTATCCATCATTGCTTACAAAAAAATATTATATATAGTTATGGAAATTTATGAAAACCCTTGACCTAGGTTTCCTGTTATTAGTTAATCGTCAGTAGGGTTGCGGTGTATGTTACTTATACTGACAGGTATAAGTAGTATAAGGCAGCAATCGATAATGAAATTGAATTAAAGAGAAGAAGAATGTTAACAAAGAGCGATTGGACCAATGACTGAGTCCGAAGAGTCTTAAAAGATGTAAAAGTCAGTGAGTTATTATCTCACAACAGACCTGAATGAACTTCACTGGTCACGACTTCTCACTAGAACTGCAAGAAATGCCTCTTGAAGTCATTCACTAGTGAGCAGATGATTATTATCAGAAGGGGTTTGTGGAGATTTTAGAAATTTCACAGATTGAAATCATGATTCAATCGTGGATGCGCACTGCTGAGGAGTCCTATACTAGGACGAAACGGCCGTCCAGTGCTTCCAGGTTTTCCATGATGGTCTAGTTCCAATTGACTCATGATTTCAATCTGTTAAATTAGATTTCTGGTTTTTTTTATCATGAAATGACATTAGCTAAAATGCCAAAAACCTCTTTAGCCAAATGGATAGATGAATTTCGCTCTAAAATCCACTGTCTGTCATTCTAAATCTGATTGGTTCATCTATAACTTATAGTCGCGCCAATATTATCATATTTCCAAGAATTCAGTACAAGAATTGAATCATAACCGTCAATTTTATATTTTGATGACCAATAATGAGTAGATTGAACATTAGATCATAGATGAAACGAAACAGATATCTAGTGCTTTTTGGTTTTCAACAGTATCTTAACTAGATTTTAATCTGAGACAGAAAAAAATGGTCACTACAAATTCAGAAACACATTGATCTATATGGTAGTTATTAACGAAATATAAGGTGAATAAACATAAACACATATGATTTGTTAGCATGTGAGGTTTTATTGGATATTCTTAAGTTTTATTGTTTACATCATGAACTGATCTTAGTTAGACAACTGTTGAAAACTAAAAAGTACTAAATAGTTGTTTTGTTCTAGTGTGACTCCACCATGGATCGAACCGAGGACCTTCTGATACTTCTATCTTCCTAAAACCTTGTGAGTAGTATATTACATCCTCGTTTTTCTTTATAACTATATATACACTACTTACCACTACTGGGAATCCCCTATCAGACCTTGGTATTATCTATAGTCCTATAAGAATACCCTCTTAAGCGGTGGTTTATTTTGTTGTTCATGATTAAATGTATGAGGTTAAATGTAGATACATTAAGTAGGAATTGTTTCTTTACACAAACTTGCTTATATTGGCAATTGATGACCTAATAACCTCACAAACATACACTTATACACTTAAGAGCATGAAATAAATAAAAAGTTTTGTGTTTTTACCCAATACCCTTCAACATTTAATGTCTATTGTTATAGTCGAATTTCTTTAGTTGACATATTGATTTAATAAACTCTACTTATTAAATTGTAAGTAATATAATTGTATGAACTAAATAAATTAACACTGGATATACATAGTCTAAGAAAATAATCATCGTTTCTGTAGTTTACAGAGCTCTAATCTCATTTTCAACATAAATCTGTTTAATATGAACAAATATTTCAAAAAAGGAAAAGGATTAGATTTGAAACGCGACATCCGGTTGATGAGTTCTAAATAGAACGAAATGCGTGTCCTGGATTCCACTGTTAGCCACCATTCATCTCTACCTATAATACTTATGATTTAAGGCAATATCAAAGCAATCTGTATAGAATGTATATATGCCAATAAGACAGACTAATCAACTGCAGTCTTAAACATAAATGAGAACATTCCACACAAAAAAAAATAAGAAAAAGAAAACCCAATACAAAGACATAGTTTGAAAATACCTATATCATAGATAAACTTTCATGAATAAAATTGACTCATCTAAGAGGTAGGTAATAAAACAGAATAAATGATGACAGGAACTTTATATTGTCTCCTTTAAAAACTTACTTTTTCATTCCACTTCATGAATGAATGTTCTTTTATTCTAAAATAAAATAGAATAATAAACAATAAAGAAGTGAAAGATATACTGACTTGATCATTAAATTATTATTCAAATTTCTTTGAAAGTATCTTATGAATTCAATTTGAAATGGATTAGATTAACTCATTGTAGATATTTTCGATTTAAAAGTTGATCACTCATGTTCGGCATATGGCCATGCTGTACGGATTGTCTACATATTATTTGCTTACTTACACCTGTTATCCCCCCCCAATGGATCATAGGGCGCCGATCAGCATTCTGCAACCCACTCTTTACTGGGCACTCCTTTCTAGTTCTATCCAATTGCTGTACATTCTTCCCATGTCTATCTTCATTTCTCGACCTAATGTGTTCTTTGGTCTTCCTCTTCTCCTTTGGCCTTGAGGATTCCATATGAGGGCTTGACTTGTGATGCAGTTCGGTGTATTCCTCAATATATGTCCTATCCACTTCCAGTGCTTCATTCTGATTTCTTCCTCCGCTGGGATCTGGTTTGTTCTCTCTCACACTGGGTTGTTGCTGATAGCGTCAGGCCAACGGATCCGAAGTATTTTGCGTAGACAGCTGTTAATAAACACTTGTATCTTGTGGATGATGGCTTTCGTAGTTCTCCGAGTTTCC